TGAGAAGAATGGAAAGAGGGTGAAGGTGGAGAGAGTGGCAAGGATTCCTACCATGTTTTTAGTTATTATTTCTAAACTATAACAGGGAGAAGTGGAAAAATTTTCTCCACTTTCCCTTAGGACTTGGGTTCTGAGGTGGAGACCCGTGGTTCTTAACAAGACAGAACTTCCCATGTGCCTTGGGTGTGAGCCATTCAGTTACTACAAGTAGAGCAAACCCACAGCATCATCCTCTACTGTCTGTGCCTTCATGAACTGAATGAAATCTGAACAAAAACATGTTGGAGTCAAATAGCTGGCTCTGCTCTCTATCAAAGCTTTGCATAATTGAGGAGGGGGAAAAGGCAAAGGGGCCAGAGAAAGGTATGGAATTAGGCATTGTCTGCAAGCCCCTTTCCAGGAAAATGACCTAGACATCGAGCAATTTGCAACTCTGAAATAATCTTTAGGGTCAACCTAGTGCTCTCTGAAGGAAACCCACTAACCTTAGCTTAGCTCATATGTCCGTCTTTACAGTGAAAAAGTCTAACTTATTTTTCACCAGGCTGTAGATGGTAACCTTCTGTCTACATATAATACAGTTGAAGATTGCTCAGCTTCATTATCCAAGTGCCTGGGGAGCAGTGCAGAGGGGATGAATTCCCAGGTCATCCTAGGAATGGCCAGTCTCTAAAATAAAAAGGGGTACGAACTGAAAACACAACACCTGGGCAGTGGGAAAATATCACCTCATTTTCTCCTTTTAGATCTCAGATGGATGCATCTTTTCTCTTGTTCTTTGTGCTTCTCTGTCCTCCCCATGTAGACTGTAGAAGAGAGAGAAGGCTAAGGTTTACGAGTGGGAGAAGAAACAATCCTATCCCTCTTGTGTCTCATTTCAGGACATAAGGAACTAAGGAAAAGGGCCAAACATGTTACATCACTAGAAATGATACAATGGAGATGATACTTTTTGGGGTTTTGGGGTATTCCCCCAAGTATTGCCCTCTGTTTGTAGAAAGGCCCCACGAAGTCACTGCTGTATGTTCAGGGAAGGGTGGAGAAAGTAGAGCAGGGAAATACAATTTGAGTTTTATAACGATCAGTTTTAAAGCCAAAGATGCCCAAAACAGGGTTAGCTCTCTCAAGTGAAGTTTGAAATTACAGGGAAGTCTCAGCTATTCTGACTAGGGTACAGTAGCAAAAAAATGTAAAAGAGGAACAACTGCCTTTGATTGCAATTGTGGCCCAAAGTCCCTAGTAAATGCTGATCAAAAAAAGGTCACTGTTGCTTGGGCCAGAAAGATGTTTTCAGCCTCCTCTGCTAACAGTCTTGCTCTCATAATCCAATTTGGTAAGCCTCTCTTCTTCATGTGGAGGGTCTGGGGCAGAGGTACTCCAGGACCTGGGGAATCCTGGAGCTGAAATGGAGTTGAGAGATGATCTACAATCTCCTGGTTTCTAACAGAAGAAACTATGCCTAGAGTTACCCATCTGGTTAACAACAGAAGTAGGACATGCAGAGCCCAGGTTACCATTAGAGGGTTCTTTCCACTGGAACACTATATTAAATCTTGCCCCAGTTGGAAGATTTGGGCCACCCTGCTTGCCTTCTTTCTTGGGTTATTAAATGAACAGTTTTTTGGGTCTGCGTCTTGGTGACCTAAATCCTTGAACTGGAAACACAGGCTTATGGATGGGAGGATAAATAATCCTCTTCCTCTTATGTCTCTGTTTTCAGAGATATTGGACCTGAGGAAAACACCAAACTAGATGGTCATTAAGTCTCTTTAAGGTAGAAACAGGGTCTCTTAGTTTGAGGACTACCGCAGCATATGTATTGCATCAGAGCCTACAATGTGGATCCTACCCCCAGGTGGACCAGGTCATTCATATCAGCACTACCCTTTCTTAGATGCTTTTGTCTGATAAACTTTGAACTTATTTCTGTTTCCAGAACAGAGTCCATAACTCTAAGAAGAGGAAGCAAATCAAAGCCTGGAATTCAAAGCTTTCTCCAGCAGAGTCAACAGACTAATAAAGAAAGGGAGTCTCTCTGCCTGTGGCATTGTCCACACTCACAGGGTCCCACTTTTATTTGTTCCTACAGAGTAAAATGAAGCTAGAAATACCTATCTTTCTTTTTCTTTGGCGTGTGTGTGTGTGTGTGTGTGTGTGTGTGTGTGTGTGGAGAGAGAGAGAGAAAGAGAGATGGTCAGCTGGGGAAAAAATAATTCCTTTGTGGATACTGGTATGTGTGTGTTGTGAGGGAGCAGGGTGAAAGGTGGGCTAAGTTTCTCCCATGCTGGGAAGTTCAAGCTGCAGATTTCAAACTAAGAGGACATGAAGAGACTTTCAGTTGCATTTTCACTGGAAAAAAGTCAGGACTTATTTCTGAGCCAAGTCCTGAAATATGCCTTACCCTTAACCTTCTCAGAGGAAGGGGATTGCCCAGAAGCTACAATTCAGCTAACTAACTGCACTCAGTGGGCAACAAAGACATTATATTTTGTGTTTGAGACATCAACTTCCATTGACAACGGCAAGGTATAATTCTGAAGCTGCCAAAATGAGGGCAGCTCGCACCACCCTGAAGCCCACCCCAGCAGCTCCAGTGAAACTTCTCCTGCTTCCCAATGGTAAGGCTATTTTCTTCTTTTAAGATTTTATTTTTATCTCAGGAGCTACTCATCTGACTGTTCTCATGACCTAAGGTACTGTCTGGACTCTCTGGCTTTAGGCTGTTAGGGAAAGCTGAAGTCCTTCTGCAAACCACAGAGCAAGATTTACTGACCTACTGGCAGGCCCATGAGGAGGTGAGGGATTACCAGCTGGGCATTTCATACACCCCAACCAAACGAAACGCTATGCTTTCAAAGATTGTCTGATTTGGCCTTTTATCTGGCCTTGTTCTCAGAATGAGTTATCTTAAATGGAACTATTCTAGGTAGTCAGACAACATTTTCATGCTTCCTTAAGGACATGAACATGTATCTTCACCCAGGCAAACTGAGCAAGTGTCAGTAAGGGGAGACAGGCATCAGTGGTCATCTGGTTAACCATGATGATGCAACACCTAAAGTAGACATGTGAGCATGTTGGGAACATACCAAGCCCACCATTGATGCTGGGGAGAGAGGCACAGTAGGAGCTCCTAGACATACAAGTGAGGGTTGATAAGTCACAATAGTAGACAGTTTTGTTTATGTGAGAAGGGAATGAGGCAAAATAAGGTATGCAAAAATATTTTCCAGCCAGGTGTGATGGCTCACACCTGTAATACCAGCACTTTGGGAGACAAGGTGGGTGGATCACCTGAGGTCAGGAGTTCGAGACCAGGCTGGCCAACATGGTGGAACCCCATATCTACTAAAATTATAAAATACTAGCTGAGCATAGTGGCCTGTAATCCCAGCTACTCAGGAGGCTGAGGCAGGAGAATCGCTTGAACTGGGGAGGCGGAGGTTGCGGCAAGCCGAGATCCCACCACTGCACTGCAGCCTGGGCAACAAGAGCAAAACTCGGTCTCACAAAACAAAAAAATTCCTGGAAGCTCTTGACCTTGGAGGGGGAATGGGGTACGTTCCATTAGACATTCCACTGTTCCCAGACAGGACTAGTCATATATATATATTAAAGGCATAGAAATAACATAGAAACTTTAAAAAGTGAGAACCTACAACTCTAGCAGACAAGAGGTAAGAAAATAACGGGATGCGGTTTGTGTGAGGAGGTACAGGGAGGGCTGTTTTGGTACAGGAAGCAGGCAGCCTGCTTCCCAAGTTTGCAGCTCCCATCTGGATGTCTGCCCTCAGGCTTCCTCTGCTGCATTTCTTTCTTAGGGCTCTTAGGAAGTGAATCTCTTCCTTCCCAGACTTGTTTCCTAAGTTCCCTACACCTCTCACCCTACGCTGTGCACTTCTCACTCCATCCTAAGTTTCTTCTCTACAGGTTTCTCCCAATAATATGCTCATTACCTCCCAGATCTTCTTACTTAGGCCTACATCTTTCTCTCCAGACTCCTGTCTTCAGCATTCCTCGACCCAACACCCGGGTCCCTCGCTTTTTTTGTTACCCTATCTGCTGCTCCTCTCTCCTCTCTGTCCTTCTGCTGTATACCCAAGCCACATCCCCACGGAGGAGCCCCGCGCCTGCCAGCTCCTGCCTGTCCTCAGACCCTTGTCTTGATCCGTCTCCCGCCTTTTTAGGACCCCTAAGTCCTTGTTACCACTCTCTTAATACTGGGGCCTTGGGTCAAACTCCTCCGGCCATCTTCCACCCCTCAGACCCCCTACCCAACCCGCGCCCCTCGCCCAGCCTGGCCCTTTCCCTCGTCCACGTCTCCCCCCTCCTTTAACGGCCGAGCCCCTCAGGCCCCGCCCCCGGCAACCGAGGCCCCGCCCCCGCTTTGCCCCCCCCCAAGCCCCGCCCCTCACTCACCTGAGGCGTCTTCGCGCGCGCGCCGGCTGTGAAGGGTTGGGGAGAGGGGACGGTGTTGGGGGAAAGGGAGGCGGGGCGGCAGGGGTCCCCCACTCTGGCCCGGGCGGCCCAGTGCGGGGGGAGTGAGGTCACTGAGGAGGCGGCAATCGCCGGGCCGGAGCCAGGACCCGGGCTCTCAGAGGCGGTGGCGGCGGCGGCGGCTCCATCTCCATCAGCGGCTTCACCTGAGAAGGGACCTGCCCCCCCAAATATTCCCCCCCATTACAGCCGTCCCCCTCCCCCTAACAACTTCCGGTCCCACCACCGGGCGACAGGCGGCGTGGCCGAACACCGAGCGTCCCCAAGCCGGGGAGACTGCTGGGGAAAAAGGGAGAGGAGCTAGGGGAGAGTAGCTGAGCGCCGAAAGATTTAAGTCCGAAAGGCACCGTCACCTGCTGAAGGTAGCCCAAAGACTAGCTTTTAATCTGCGCCCAGTTTGCAATCTAAGCACATACTGGACGCCCTATGTGGCCTGGCACGTCTGCCCCTAGAGCCACGTTTTCCCTCTGTACCATGTAAACACCCAAAATCTGAGACAGGTCTCAATTTCGGAAGTTTATTTTGCCAAAGTTAAGGACAAGCTCCTGTAACACAGCCTCAGGAGGTCCTGACGCGTGCCCTAGGTAATCCTAGCACAGCTTAGTTTTATACATTTTAGGGAGACAAGAGACATCAGTCAATATATGTAAAGGTGGGACAATTCAAAGCTGGGGTGGTGTGCTTCCAGGTCATAGGCAGAGAAGAGGCAAATGGTTGTATTCCTCTCAAAGGAGACAATCAGATACGAATTTATCTCAGTGAGTAGAGGGATGACTTTGAATGGGAGGCAGGTTTGCCCTAACCAGTTCCAAATTGACTTTTCCCTTTAGCTCAGTGATTCTGGGGTCCCAAGATTTATTTTATTTTCACAACCTCTTAAGACAATGTTGATTGTAAACTCCTAGCATTCTTTACCTTTCCTGCCAAGTGTATTGGAATTGTTGGGAGAGGAGTTGGAGGGTCACCTTTGTGGTATCCTGAGGTCATCACCTAGGTGCCACTGCAGATATTGCCAGACCTGAGAAGGAAGCCCTACTTATTTTATTTTTTTGAGACGGAGTCTCATTGTCGCCCAGGCTGGAGTGCAGTGGTGCGATATCGGCTCACTGCAACCTCCACCTCCTGGGTGTAAGCAATTCTCCTGCCTCAGCCTCCCAAGTAGCTGGAATTACAGGTGCCTGCCACCACACCCAGCTAATTTTTTTTTTTTTTGAGACTGAGTCTCACTCTGTTGCCCTGGCCAGAGTGCAGTGGTGTGATCTCAGCTCACTGCAACCTCTGCCTCCTAGGTTCAAGTGATTCTTATGCCTCAGCCTCCCAAGTAGCTGAGACTACAAGGGTGAGCCACCACACCTGGCTAATTTTTTTTTCATGTTTTTAGTAGAGACAGTTTCACCATGTTGACCAGGCTGGTCTCAAACTCTTGACCTCAAGTGATTCACCTGCCTCGGCTTCCCAAAGTGCATGAGCCACTGCGCCCGGCTGGAAGCCTTACTTTTTAACCTACAAGACTGCTTCCTCTCTTCCTCCCCAGTTTTGTTTTGGACTAATCTCATTATACATCCCAGTACAAATGTGTCCTCTCTCCTGCAATAGACTCACTCTCCAGGCCCAAGAGTAATGATCTTTTTTTTTTTTTTTTTTTGAGATGGCGTTTCACTCGTTACCCAGGCTGGAGTGCAATGGTGCAATCTCGGCTCACCGCAACCTCCGCCTCCTGGATTCAGGCAGTTCTCCTGCCTCAGCCTCCTGAGTAGCTGGGATTACAGGCACACGCCACCATGCCCAGCTAATTTTTTGTATTTTTAGTAGAGACGGGGTTTCACCATGTTGACCAGGATGGTCTTGATCTCTTGACCTCGTGATTCACCCGCCTGGGCCTCCCAAAGTGCTGGGATTACAGGCTTGAGCCACTACGCCCGGCCAAGAGTAATGATCTTAAACAGACTATTAGAAAAGAACTATAAAAGGAGACGGTTGCACCCCTTGCTTTCCTCACAACCCTCTGGCAACCTGGAGAGGCAGTAGAAAATAGTATATATACTTTTCTTACACATGCCACACACATTTCTCTGAAGAATCCAAAAGGAAAAGCAAAACAAGGCCTTGATGGCAGTAGGCATTAGAAATGGAGGTGGGGTAGGAAGACAAAATAGTGCTTGTCTCCAGAATTACTTGTCTCACTTCTAGCCCCTTACTATAACAGCTCACACTTCCTGGCACAGGTTCAAAGGCCAAGAGGGGTGTGTAACATACTGTCCAAAGAGGGAGGGTCCCTGGGTGAAATGTGCTATATGTGTATTTGGGTATGGCTTAGGAAAGCCAGAGTTGTGATCCAAGATGTCGAGAGATGGGAAAGATTTTTCTGAAGCAGTGAGGCCAGTAGGTGGGGAAAGGGGTTGAGGTGGCTCCTTTCCATGCTCATGGGGCGACATGGACGTGGACACGATGCCAGGCATTGCTAAGCACCCCTCGCAGGTTCCAGATTGGGGCCACGGTGTCTGGCTGCACATTGTAGCCATCATCCACAGCCTTACAAACAATGTTCAGTTCCTTCTGTCCAGCTGGCACAGGGACTTGCAACTGCCACAGGCGCCACGCCCAGGCCTTCCTGGGACGCTGTTCCTCTCCATCCAGCTCAGCAACCTGCCAGGTTAGGCCCCCATCCAGAGACACATCCACCCGGATCACAGCCCTGCCACCACCACTCCATGCATAGCCCCTGATGGTCACTTCCCCAGACTCTACAGTCTCTCCATCCTGGGGCTCTGTGATGGCCGACTGGACAGGAAGTTCCTGAATGGATGGAGCAGAGTCAAAATCGACAGTGTCCCAGTCCACAGATGGAGAGAAGCCTTTGTAATCCCGCCGTTGCCAGTGGCTGTAACTTTCCTCTGGCTGCACACTTACTCTGCCCAGCCATTTGACATGGCGGGCACCCACCACTCCAGGAACCACGACACGCACAGGGAAGCCATGGTCACGAGGCAGAGGCTGCCCATTCATCTCATATGCCAGCAGGACCTCAGCTTCAGGATCCATGGCCCGAGCCAGAGGGATGGATGCTCCATAGGCAGTCCCAGTAGGGTCTGAGTCCAGTCCCTCAAAGCAGACGTGGGCCTCAGTTTCACAGAGTTGGTGGCCAGCCTGGGCTAACACATCACAGAGCCGTGCGCCACCCCAGTGTGCAGTGCTGATGGCTCCTGTCCTCCACTCTAGACCTTTTACTTCTTTGACCTGAGTCATCTCAGAGCGCCGGTTGCCGGCACATTGCAGAGTGACTGTGATCTCGTACTTGGGAAACTTGTGCAAGTCATCCAGGGACAGAGACAGTGACTGACCCCCAGGTGCTCCTACTACGTGTAAGCGATAGGTGTCTGGATCCACGTTAGGTACAGGCAGATGGTTCCGGGTGAAGAAGATAGGGTTGGGTGTGATGTAGTTTTCTGTCAGCAGCTCAGGGGGGGGCTCTGCATTAAAGGGGCGCTGGCTGTTGACCTTCAGGGCTGGATGACGTACAGGATCATTAGCATAAGGGTCAGAGGTCTCCACAGTGGGGGCTACCTTGTCTTCAGGGTTCAGCTCCCCAATCTTGTACTGAGCCAGTAACTCACGTACATGGGACTGGTCGTGAACAGCATAGAGGGCCCAGAAGGGCTCTAGGGGACCCCCAGCTGCTAGCATCAGCTTTGATGGTCCCCCTGGATGTAGGTCCACAAATTCTGTGACATCAAAGACCTCAGAGCCCAGAGTCACCCAGATCCCAGTCTCAGGGCTGGTATGGGAACTCACTTCCGCCTTAGTGTATATGTGTGTTGACTCCTGAGCAGCCTGTCAGCAGGGAAGGAATAAGACAAAAAGGAGACTATTAAGAAGAAATCACTCTAGTTCATCCTGACCCAACCCACAGTCTTGGTCACTGGGAACTGAAGGTAGCAGATTTCATCTCCATTGTGCATGAAGACTGTGTGACTGTGAACTCTGTGGTAACTGCAAGAACACGGGTCACAGCCTGGGTTGCCTGTGGAGTTTACTAGGGCTGATTCCTTTGTTCTGAAAATTTTTTTTTTTGAGATGGAGTCTCACTCTGTCACCCGGACTGGAGTGCAGTGGCCCAATCTTGATCTCGGCTCACTGAAGACTTAGCCTTCCAGGTTCAAGTGGTTCTCATGCCTCAGCCTCTTGAACATGCCACCACACCTGGCTAATTTTTGTATTTTTACTAGAGATGGGGTTTTGCCATGTTGCCCAGGCTGGTCTCAAACTCCTGAACTCAAGTGATCCAGCCACCTAGGCCTCCAAAAGTGCTGGGATAACAGGTGTGAGCCACTGCATCCAGTCTATTCTGACAATGAAGTCCCTTCCCCACTTACCCTACACCGATGGTCCTGATAGGCCAACACTGCACCGAGACCTAATAGGGTCCCCATGACTCTCCATCTCCCGGTGCTGGAGTTATCACCAGAGAAGGTGAGGCTGGGGCGCTGGGGCTGAAATGACTCATTTGTGGAGCAGGCCTGAATGCAGAGCCTTGAGTGGATTGACTTGAGTCTGGAAGAGAGAGAAGTCTTCTTAGTAGCACGTATGGTCACATGAAAGGGCCAGTGAAGGCCTAGGATCTACTTATTTTCTCCATGGTTGGCCATTTATTCCTTCAGTTGGAACTCAGTTTCTCAAGGGATAGGTGGGAAAAATGGGATCTGGCTTTCTCTGTCCTCCCTGGACACTCTCTCAACTATCTTATTTGGAAGGTAAGACATTGTAAAAGACATTAAGGGCCAGAGATGGGGGCTAGGAGGCAAGTCCTGGGATGGGATGGCCTACCTGCAGGCCTGTTGGAGCCTGAGGACCATAGCTCTGTGCAGCAGCAGCATAGTAGCAGACCTGTAGAAGGAAGATTCTGGGATCAAGACAGGGAGACCTTGGGAGGGGATATTAGGGAGACCTAAGGGAATGGGTAGGAGGGAGACACACAGAATGTCAGCAAGGAGCTTTCTGGGAAAATGGGGAGTCTAGAGAGTGGGAGTCCAAATGGGCCATTAGAGAAAACTTGGAGCATTCAGAGATAGACTGTGCTGACAGGATGTCAGGTAATGAGGGTGGGGAATGGGGTAGGAGGAATGGGTGCTTTTAGCATCAACTGTCTTCCATCTTTCCATTCTGAACTTTGTCTACCATAGAGAACCATTCCTGGGGCAAGGGCCTAAAGGACCAGAGCCAAATGTCTACTGGCCAGTTGATTATTTCTGAAGTCAGCAGAGGACAACTGAGGGGCAGACTGACTTTTTTTTTTTTGAGATAAAGTCTTGCTTTTTCCCCCAGGCTGGAGTGCAATGGCACGATCTTGGCTCCCGGATTCAAGCGATTCTTCTGCCTCAGCCTCCCGAGTAGTTGGAATTACAGGTGCCTGCCACCACACCTGGCTAATTTTTGTATTTTTAGTAGAGACAGGGTTTCACCATGTCGATCAGGCTGGTCTCGAACTACTGACCTCAGGTGATCTGCCTGCTTCGGCCTCCCAAATGCTGGGAATACAGGTGTGAGCCACCACACCTGGCTCAGACTGACTTAAAACAGGGATAAAAAAGTGAAAAAAGTAGTGGCAGACTAATTGGGTGAAGGAGCCCAGATTCTGGGGGCTAACTACCTTGGGTTTGTGAAACTGTATCTTACTATTCATTAACCAGCCCTATTGGCTGAGCAAGATACCAAGCCTCTCTGGACTTGCTTCCTCATCTCTGAAAAAATATCTGCCTTGCAGAGCTAACATGAAGATTCAACAAGTATAGCAGTAACCCCTTATCCACCGGGGATATGTTCTACAACCCCCAGTGGATGTTTGAAACCATGGATTGTATTAAACCCTATATTACTGTTTTTTTCCCCCTATACATACATACCTCTTATATTTTAATTAATAAATTACCCACAGTAAGAGATTAATAACAAAATAGAAAAATTATAACATTATATTGTAATAAAAGGGCTGAGTATGGTGGTTCACTCTTGTAATCCTAGCACTTTGGGAGACCTAGGCAGGAGGACTGCTTGAGGCCAGGAGTTGGAGACCCCATCTCTACAAAAAATAGAAAGTTAATTGGGCATGGTGGAGCGCACCTGTGGTCTCAGCTACTCTGGAGGCTGAGGTAAGAAGATCTAAGCCCAGGAGTTTGAGGTTACAGTGAGCTGATTGTGCCACTGCACTTTAGCTTGGCAACAGAGAGAGACCCTATTTCAAAACAAAAAAACAAAGTTATGTGAATGTGGTCTCTCTTTCAAAATATCTTTATTTTTTGGCCAGGCATGGTGGCTCATGCCTGTAATCCCAACATTTTGGGAAGCCAAGGCAGGAGGATCACTTGAACCAAGGAGTTCAAGACCAGCTTGGGCAACATAGTGAGACTGTGTCTCTAGAAAACAAAAATAAATTAGCTGGGTGTGGTCGTGCCTGTCTGAAGTTTCAGCTATTGGAGTGGTGGGGAGAAGAGTGCTGAGATGAGAGGATAGCTTGAGCCCAGGAGGTCGATACTGCAGTGAATCATGATGGTGTGACCATACTCCAGTCTAGGCAACAGCGCAAGACCCTGTCTCAAAAAAAAAAAAAAAAAAAAAAAAGACTGGGTGATGAAGTCAGTTATCAGTCATGGCTCACTGCAGCTTCAACCTCCTGGGCTCAAGCCATCCTCCTACCTCAGACTACCCAGTAGCTGGGACCACAAGCATGTGTCATCAAGCCTGGCTCATTTTTCTGTAGACATGGGAGTCTCACGATGTTGTCAGGGCTGGTCTTGAACTCCTGGCCTCAAGCAATCTTGCTGCCTTAGCTTCCCAAAGTGCTGGGATTACAGGCATGAGCCAGTGTGCCTGGCTTCCCCCCATCCCAGACGGGGTCTTGCTCTCTTGCCCAGGCTGGAGTGCAGTGGCATGATCTTGGCTCACTACAGCCTCAAACTCCCAGGCTCAAGCCATCCTCTGCCTCAAACTCCTGAGTAGCTGGGACCACAGGTGCATGCCACCATGTATGGTGTTTTGTTTTGTTTTTTGTAGAGATGAGGTCTTACTATGTGGCCTAGGCTGGTCCCAAACTCCTGGGCTCAAGTGATCCTTCAACCTTGGCCTCATAAAGTCCTGGGATTATTACAGGCATGAGCCACCACTTCTAGCTTCAAAATATCTTATTCTACTATGTTCACCTATTTTCCAAGTGGTTGACCATGGTTAACTGAAACTCTGAAAAGCAAAACCTTGGATAAGGGGAGACTACTGTAGTAACTGTCTTTGAAGGCCTCTTAGTCTCCAACTCTCCCTCCCTTCACCCTAAAAAAATGGAACCCAGCTCATAACTGGATCCCAACCCAGGGTCCTGGACCACCTCCATCTTGTCTATGCCACTGAGCAGTGAGCTCAGCAAATTGAAGAGTTAATGGCCAGAGTGTCAGGGGCAGGCTGGAGAAGGAATGTAATTTTTCTGCTCTCTGCCCTGCAAGAATTTCTTCCTCATATTGCTGAACAGAAAGCACTGACCCAGCAGGGCCAAAGTGAGGAGGGGTGAGAAATGTCTAAACTGCTGATGAGATGCTGGAGACCAATGTGTCGGGGCGGGTGGGTGGTGGGTAGGGAGGCAGAGAAACCCAGAGATGGGAATAGGAGCAGTCTTCACTTTGCCCCTAGGCCAAGCGACCCTTACTCTCTCTGCCACCTACCTCAATGCCAGCAGCCTGCTTGTACTAGACGGGAGGAGTGCAGGTAGGGCCGACTCACAGATGAACTCAGCCCAGAATCCCAGGTTTGGGAGGGCCAGCCTTTTGCTGTAATACAGATATGCCACCCGTTGGTGCAGGTGATAACCCCTCACTCCCCACGGGCACGTTACGTAGGAAGATATGTCCGGCATCCGGATACAAAAGGGTCTTGCGGCAATACCCCACGATCTCAAAAGCATCCAGAGGGAGTGGAGGCAGGTTCTGGTAGTTTTGTTGTCCCTGAGGTTTAGAGCACACCTGGGCGCTAAGGCCCCCTCCGCTGCCTGACTCAGCAGCCCCCTCCTCCCCGTCTTCTTTCCCACCCCCAGACCCCTTACCGGGTCCAGCGTCCTCAGCAATACTGTTAAACCGGCCCAGTGCTCAGAGAGTTCTCGCGAAGGGGGCGGGGCCAGCGGCTGTTAAGTCCGGCTGGAGTGAAGGCCCACTCACGCCCCTCAGCTCATCCCCCAGCCATTGGCTGGAAGCGGAGCCTCGAAGCTGTTGCACCCGCCTCCTGGAGCCAAGACAGGCAGGTTGCCAGGAAGCCTCGGAGAAGAGACTGGCTCTTTTTGCTGTCACTCTCGCTCCACTCTGGAGTCCATTACAACCCCCTGAGCACAAAGAATGGGACGCTCACGCACCGGGGCTGTGTGTCCGGAGCTCAGGCAGTGTGGAAGGTGACGAGGAATCCAAAACATGGGCTGAGAGGTGGGAGATTTGAGACGCCCCTGCCGCCCCACTCTGGAGGAGGCCTTGGGATCCAGTCGAGTTTCTCCTGGCTGTGATCTCTGCCTTTTTTTTTTTTTAAGATGGGGTGTCACCATGATAGCCAGGCTGGTCTTGAACTCCTGACCTTAGGTGATCCACCCACCTAGGCCTCCTAAAGTGCTGGGATTACAGGCGTGAGCCACCGCGCCCTGCCGTGATCTCTGCTTTTACCCCAGGGTAGACCTACCTCTATCCAGTTGCGATTACAACTACCCTGTTTATCTTTTAGGGAAAGCAAGGTCAGTGAATTCTCATATCCAGGAACAAGAACAAATACCTTAAATAGTGGTTCCAAGAATTTGAGATTCCTTGGGCTACTCGAACCTCTCCACAAACAAAAGTGAACAAACACTGAATAGCAATCTTTTATTTTGTGTAGAAAAAAAAAAAAAGAAAAATCGCCCCTTGGTGGTACACTCCTGTAGTCCCAGTACTCGGGAAGCTGAAGGCAGGAGGATGGCTTAAACCCAGGAGTTCGAGGTTGCACTAAGCCAAGATCGCAGGCGCTGCACTCCAGCCTGGGCAACAGAACGAGACTCCATCTTTTTTTTTTGAGATGGAGTTTCACTCTTGTTGCCAGACTGGAGTGCAAAGGCTCAATCTCGCCTCACCGCAACCTCTGCCTCCCAGGTTCAAGCGATTCTCCTACTTCAGCTTCCCAAATAGCTGGGATTACAGGCACGTGCCACCACGCCCGGTTAATTTTTTTGCATTCTTAGTAGGGATGGGGTTTCTCCATGTTGGTTAGGTTGGTCTTGAACTCCCGATCTCAGGTGATCCATCCGCCAAGGCTTCCCAAAGTGCTGGGATTATAGGCGTGCCCGGCCGAGACCCCAGCTCTTAAAAAAACCATCCAAGGCCAGGCATGGTGGCTCACACCTGTAATTCGGCACTTTGGGAGGCCGAGGCAGGCGGATCACAAGGTTAGGAGACCAGCCTGGCCAAGATGGTGAAACCAGTCTCTACTGCAAATACAAAAAAGTAGCCGAGTGCGGTGGTGGGTGCCTGTAGTCCAAGCTACTCAGGAGGCGAGGGAGAAGAATCGCTTGAACCCAGGAGGCGGGGGTGGCAGTGAGCCTAAATTGCGCCACTGCATTCCGGCCTTGGGCAACAGCCAGACTCTACCTCAAAAATCAAAAACACACCACCCCTTAACAAGAGCAATGTCAGCTTAACACCCAAAAGTATGAAGGTTGTAGTCTTTTAAAGTAAAGGACACTCATAGGATACATTTTCTATTACCCTTTTATCGTTTGATGCAGAACAAAATTTATCAAATCTAATCCCCTAACCTGGGCAAATGTGTCCATACACTGCCATCTAGAGGCCCGAGGGTGGAGCTACAATTTTAATCAGTTTCAGTGAAGGTTTTCACCTTTAATTTTGAAAGATCATTTTCCTTTCCTTTAGGCTCTCCAACTAGAGCTTTTACCAGGAGTCAATGAACAGGAGTGGGGGGGGGGGCGGTGTTACTAAGAGATATAAGGTAAGGGAACCGACAGTGAAAAGTTGGCTTTGCCTCTTAAGTGCTTGGAAATGGAAAGGATTTCAATCCGTATACAATCAAATTATTGAAGAAGACTGATGCCCAATCTATCCTACCAGTTAAAACAAACAAAAAGAAAAAAAGAAAGAAAGAAACATAGAGCTGCAAGTTAAAAAACAGTCTCAGCCCAAGGAAGATATAGAGAAGTCAGTTAGGGATTATCTAAAAAGCTTCCTTCCTAATAGTGTCATCTACTTTTGTGCTACACAGATGCGTTACATAATTGACCTTAATCTTCAGCATTTATTTTACAGATGAAGAAACAGAGGCAGAAAGCACTAACTAACGTGATCTCAAGGCCACAGCTTGTCAGTTGACAGAGACGGGCCTAAAATGCCAAGTTTGTCTGGTACCAATCCTCTTTCCTATCCTTAAGATTTTCTGGAATTTAAAACCTCCTGCAACTATATATAATCCTTTCTATTTCATCTCCCTTCCCTCAGCTTTTAGACTGTGATGGACTGGAGGGTTTGAAGTACACTAGGAGTCAAGAGCAGATCCAGGGGAAATTTTCCCATTGAGGTAGAAGCCACAAGATCAACCAAAAAACTAACTCAGTGATTTTTTTCAACCTTTAGGTCATGAACCCCTTTGAGAAACATATAAAAATGGATCCTAGAAATATGCACATACATTTTTGTATCCTACTTCAAATATCACCACCTCCCTCCAATCTCATCAGTGGGCCCAAAGATCCACAGACCACACCCTATACATACACATTCTGTTAAGATGGCCTAAAAAAGATACAATAGGGTTCAATTTGATGAACAATCTAGTAGCCTTAGAATAGGGGTGATTAAATAGCAATAGAAGGGATATTTTCCAAACTGGATGTTTAAGAAAAGATTAAAGGGAATAAGGACATACCAATATGCAGGGGAAGGTGTGTTTCTGATTCAATAAAACATTACTGGGTATCCTTTCTTCCAAATTCCTAGTACCTGACAAACAAATACCAAAAAAAAAAAAAAAAAAAAAAAAGAAAAGAAAAAAAGCAACACTCCAATGCCCTTTTCTTTTTTTCCTTTTTTTACTTACATTAAATACATTGGTAAATCAGCAGTTGCATTCTGTTACCACGATTGTTATGTTAGGAGAGGAAGAAAGGCAAATACTTTCTTAGAAGCAAAACAAAAACAAAAACCCACAATACCCGCCCTTAAAAAAACTGACCAGAAGAAAAAAATGAGCTGGGAAAAAAAAAAAACAAAAAAAAACACCCTAAGATCCCCAAGCCCAACAGAGCTCAAAGGAAGGCAGAAGAGCTGGTAGGAAGTAGAGGGAAGGCAGCCGGTAGGCCCAGAAGCTAAGGCCAAATCCTGTTCCTATGGGGGTGCGGGAGGGAGAAGCCTGGGAAAATGGTTTCCCAGCCCCAAGACAATGAACATCTTCACTCCTACTCCATGGGGGAAAGCTGCAGAGAGAAAGAACTTCGTTTCTAGGAGACTTTAGAAAGCCAACCTAGTTCTTCCACTTATAAAAAGGATGCACTGGGTGCTTTGGTGGGCCAGTGGCTTCTGGGAAAGGAAGGGGGAAATGTGTGTGTTTCAGGGCCATGGGAACTAAGGCTGCCCCTGGAAAAGGAAGGGAATTGAGGCCTAAGTGGAAGAACCTAAGCTGGGTCCTTCAGAATCTCAGCTTCATAGATTTCTCAGCTGTTCTGGGATAGAAGGTAGTCTGCAAGCCAAAAGGGCAGAAAGGTTCCAATCCTAGGTCACTGTGACCTTTCCTTTCTTTCCCAAAACTCTGGGCTGGAACAAGGAACTTAAAGTTCTCTTTTGCCTTGATGGCTTCCAGATAAATCTTAAAACACCCAATGAGGGATATGAAGAGAGGCTAAAGATTTAGAAAGGACCAAGGTCCTCTGATAATATGAACCAGTTGTAAGGTACCTTCGGTGCCGGTCATTCCCTGTCCACAGGAACAGGTGGTATGATATGAGGGTGCCACAAGGAGGCCTCTGTGGTACTAGCCCCTAGGGGTACATGGATTAAACCACTGGTTGCATGGTGGAAAGGAATGGGGGATTAAGAATGGAGGGACTAAATTCAAGATGTTAACAAACGAAAAAGGAAACAGGGCCTGGTGGGAGGCAGAGGATAGAATAGACTGTACAGTAGGAATAAAGATCATATCTATTTACAGGGAAGTAGAAAAGACATGGTAATGGATATCAAATTGAGTGTGAAACCTGGGAAAGGATAGAAAACTCCTCCCTTTTGCCTGACCTCCTTTTTACTCCCCTACCTTGGCCTATGCTATCCTGAGACACTACTCAATTGCTCAGTTAATTCTCCAGGAGAGGCAAACCTATACTCAATAGCTAGGTTCGAAAGAATATAGGTTAAGAATTGAGCTGGAGGAAGCTGACAGTGGAGATTGGACTTAAATAGCTGCCACTGGTACTTTTAACTATAACCTCTCCCAAAACCTCATATTAACCTTAGATTTCATTGAATTAAAAAGAAGGTGGGAGGGCAAGGAAATCAATCAAAACTTCCATAAAACAAGTACCCCAACTGAACTACCATCAATTAAAGTGCAAACTGCAGGGGCATATGGTAGTTGGGGCTGAGGCCATCTAAAGGCCAGAGGGAAAAAAATGCATATGTATAAATCAGAGGATGGGTATCAGAAACCTCCTCCAATTAGATCACAGCAGAGCCAAAGATGCAGGCAACCAGTGAAGATTCTTTGGAGGACTCTGGGGTCCAATCCCCATGATTGGGAGATGCTACCTAAGAGGTTGCGTGAGGGGAAACTGGGCCTTGGAAGAGTTACAGAGCCACAGATAACACTGTACCTACACCTCTGCCCAGTTAGCTTACAGGACACCTCCTGCCTGGTGCCTGAGAGCTTGACTCCCCATTCTCACCTCTACCTAGGAACACCCTCTAAAAGGCCAATTCATGGATACCACAATGTTTTCAAATATGAGAAACTCAAACCAAATAAAATAAAAAAGGAAATGTTTCCTTACTCCCTCCTGCTCTGAGCTTTATTCTCCCCCAGGGCCCTTAATGTAAATGAACTGGAAACCTCCTTCCTCAGCTCCTGGGTTTACCACCTTCTGCATCCTGGGGAGAGGAGAAAAGAGGATCAAGAACAGGGATTGACCAAAAGCAGAAAGGGGAAGGGAAAGGAGACAGAAGTGTTTTCTGAATTAATGGGGAGGAACACTAGGGAGGAGGAGAAAGATAAGTAAGTCACTGTCTTGTACCTATAATACAAAGTGAAGAAAGTTTGTTCTGGAAGGTAAGTCCTGGGGGGAGTTGACCCCCAAGCCCCAGAGTAGGGGGTAGGAGGCCAGTGGCAACAGCTGCCTGGTGTTGGTTGCTGAAGCGTTAAAAAGTGCCATGACGGAGCTGTCAGGAGGCAGCCCTTGGGAGCCAGGGCTCAGTGTGCTGTTACCGTAGGGGCCGTGTGCTGAGGGGTAGGGATGGAGGTTATTTCTTAGCTCTCGTGCTAGCTCCATACTTGTTTGCTGCTAGCCACCCCCTCAGTTGCTACAACACTGGCTCTTGTTCTGCTGGGACTGTTCATGGAGATCCACACCCCGGCTTCGGCCTGCTGCACCTCCCAGATTCTGGGGTTCACTCTTTGGCAACTTCTTAGCTAGAGATAAAAAGAGAAGAGAACAAAGTATGGTAGATTTTACTTTCCTACCCCTCTGCCCCCACCCCCCACAAAAAAGCTACTGGGCTGGGGAAAAGGGAGAATTTGAGAGATTAAAAGAATGTTCTGAAGATGGGAGCGTTGACTGTTTGCAAACTAAGACAAGCTGCAGCCAAGGATGGAGGTCACAACAGAAAGTTAAGGTATTTCCATACCTAAAGTTTTTGCAAAAGGAGACACTCACACCTATCCTTGATTTGGGTTAGCTATAATTCTGCCTATACATGAGGGAAAAAGGAAGACCTCAGGATGTTCTGACCTTACCTATTGCCAGGAAGAGATCATTCACGTTCATAGCCGTCTTGGCTGAAGTCTCCATAAACAATAAGCTGTTGTCATCTGCATATGCCTGGGCCTCCTGCAAGGAGTGGGGTGTATTGGTGCTCAGAATGTAGGGTGGGAACAAGTATTGCCTTTCCACTCCCATGTAGCACAAGAGCTAGGCAAAATCCTAAGTTCCTTCCCCTTAATCAATATCCCTTTGAGCTAGCTAGACCAGATGCATAATTTGATGACAACTCCCTCAAGATGACCCCATGTCCATTCAGTCCAACACAAATGTCAGAAAGCTTAATTATAGGGGAGAGGGTAAGTTGGTTGGGAGCTTTTGGGTTCTAACACTTGAATAGCCCCTTACCTCAAATTTAATTGCTCCCTCCTTCCTGTCTTCACATTGGTACCCTCACAGCTGGTACTTCCCTAACCCTCTGCTCTGGAATTTTCTTCTGACTCCTCTAAAATCTCTTAGGGTCACAGTGTTGCTGTATTTAACTTGGTGTAGAACTAGGGAATGAGACAATGAATGTCCTCAGTTGACGTTTTTAGAGAGGGCTGGTTTGAAAAAAAAAAAAAAAGGCCCAGGAACAGAGGAAGTATCAGAGAGGAACTCTATGGGCCACCTTACTTCATACTCCACCATACGCTTGTTGGCCAGGTCAGCTTTGTTCCCTGCTAGAGCAATAACGATGCTAGGACTGGCCTGTCGCTGTAGTTCCTTCACCCATGTCTTCGCTCGGGCAAAGGTTTCCTAGGAAAACATTTAGAGAATGAGTAGACTGAAGTAACTGCCAACCCATATCTATCACCTTTTAAAATGAGTCTCAAAATTCACCTCTTTCAGGTGGCCTTCCCTTACTGAAACCACTGGTCTCTGATAATTCATTTTCTCTGTCTTCTTAGCACTTGGAAGCATAATTTGTACTCTTATTTGCTATTTCAAGAACATGTTTTCTGCCCACCCACTCCATCTAATTTAATTCCTCTAAATATAAGCAAGGACAGTCCTCTTAACTCACTTACCTGATTAGTAATGTCATAAACCACGATTGCAGCTTGGGCACCCCTGTAGTACATGGGGGCTAAGCTGTGGTATCGCTCCTGCCCAGCTGTGTCCCAGATCTCAAACTTGACTGTTGTGTCATCTAAACAAACGGACTGGGTGAGGAAGGCCGCTATGGATAAGAGAAAGGAGGGGAAGATGCTGTAAGTGAGAGGATGAATGGGAACATACCCCACTTCAAAATATAACTACCCTCACTCTAAGACCAGTCACCCCCGCAGGATACTCAGCTATAGGAAAAGGTTTTGAGTTCTCCTTACATGTAAGTCTTGGAACCACGATTAAGACTGCCCTTGGCTAAGTCCATCCTGCCAGAAATGTCTCTGGCTAAGGAATGGGGGTACATCATAAACTAAGAGGGATAGAAGAACTCGCACTTATATGAGTCATCCTTCTAACCAAAATAGGAGCATAACAAATGACAAAGACAATAGCTTCAGACAAAAGTCACATCAAGAATTAATTAGAAGATTGGCTGGGTGCGGTGGCTCATGCCTGTAATCCCGGCACTTTGGGAGGCCAAGGTGGGCAGATGACCTTGAGATCAGGAGTTTAAGACCAGCCTGGCCAACATGGTGAAACCCTATCTCTACTAAAAACACAAAAGTTAACCAGACGTGGTGGTGGACAACTGTAATCCAAGCTACTAGGGAGGCTGAGGCAGGAGTATTGCTTGAACTAGGGAAGCAGAAGTTGCAGTTAGTAGAGATCATACCACTGCACTCCAGTCTGGGTGACAAAGTGAGACACAGTGTCAAAAAAAAAAAAAAAAAAGAATAAGAATATTTTAAAGCTTGATGGCAAGTACCATCATTAATATTATTTGGCTGTTACTTTTTCATATAATCT